GGCTCAACAACAGCTTGAAAAATGCTGGAACTTTGAATGCTACTCTACGCAGTCAGCTCTAGCAAATTATTTAGCTTTAACTGAGATTATGCCATCAGGCAATGACTGTAATAGACACCACAATGACAACAGGAAAATCATTTCCCTTTCTGAAGCAAGTATAAATGAACAAAGAGCTATTTCCATATATGAAGTGATCAAGCGATCATGATTAATGCCCAAAATGTACTCAAACAGCCTCCTGAAGAAACTACATGGAGAATGCTAGCAACTAAACCCATCCCCAAGCCTCCATCTTCTGCTTATCTGGACTTTACCACTTCTTCATCAAGTCACTAATTACCTTAATCTACTACTGACTTGAATCAGAGGCTTTTAATTCTTCATAACAGTTTCATTCACTGTTTTGTTTCAAATATTTATGACCGTCTGTACTAGCCCAAGTATATTATAACCACTAAATCATACAATACATCATGTCTTTGTCACTATTCTAGACATAAAATCCTGTGAGAATATGCTTACAACACAAAAGGTCACTTTGAACATTGACTAGAGACATGAATAAAAAATAAAACATTTAGTTAAATCCTTCAAAGCAACAAGGCTGCCATTACCCATTAGAGCTTAGAAAGTATTTCAGCTACTTCTCAGGTACTCACATGAGACCACACGTGGTAGTTTAATTGCAAGCACAGGACAAACAGAATCAGTCCCCAAATTCAGCCTTTACCCATACTTTCAAAAATGATCATTTGCCTGGTCCTTATTCTTTATAGCCCTTACAAGGCTGTCGGCTTGGCTTAGTGACCATATTTCCTTCTGTGACCCACAAAGAGAGCTGTGCTCAATGGGCCCACTGCATTTTATAGATGACCAGATCATGACATACTACCCACCTGTTAGCACAAGTCTTCCCTCAATAATGAGAGCTGAAGCATTACCTGGTATCATTTCTCATGAAGGGTAAGAAAAAATTAAAGGATATGAAAGACCCTACTAAAAAGAGCAGCTGAGTTGAGTCGTGGTGGCTAACAGGGTCGTATTTGGACATGAATAATATGATTCTTAATTTTGTATTTGGTGCCTAGATGCCATCTTGAAGTACAGTAACTCCTCGCTTAACATTGTAGTTATGTTCCTGAAAAACGTGACTTAGCGAAACGATGTTCAGCTAATCCAATTTCCTCACAAGAATTAATGTAAATAGGGGAGGTTAGGTTCCAGGGAAATTTTTTTCACCAGACTATATTTTTATATATATATATACACACACACACACACAGTATAAGTTTTAAACAATTTAATACTGTACACTGCAATGATGATTGTGAAGCTTGGTTGAGATGGTGAAGTCAGAGGGTGGGATATTTCCCAGGGAATGCTTTACTGCTAAATGATGAACTAGCACTGAGCTGAGCCCTTAAGGGTTAACACATTGTCAATGTAGCTCTCCAAGACAGCACAAATGGAGAGAAGGGAGACAGCATGGCAGACAGAGAGAGAGAGAGAGAGAGAGAGAGAGAGATGCGCATTGCCCATTTCAGTATGCTGACCCCACTCTAAATACATTGCCTTTTAAGTAGATGAGGAAGTTGAGACAGCAGCTGCTGCCTACAAGCTCCCTCCGTCCTGAGCCCTGTCGTGTGCCCCTACTGCTCTATGGAGATGGGGTAAGCAGGGTGCAGGAGCGGGGGGAGGGGGACACCCTGACATTAGTCCCCGTTTCCCTCCCCCCAGCAAGCAGGAAGCTCCCGGGAGCAGCTCCAAGGCAGAGGGCAGGAGCAGCACATGGCAGCGGGGGGGGAGGGAAACCTGAACTGCCAGGATTGATAGCCTGCTGGGCAACTGCCACACAGGGAACTTAGGGGACCAGGGAGCTGATGGGGGGCTGCTGGTCCACCCTGGTTCCAAGCCCACACCAACTGGCTGCAACAGGCTGCTCTTCCTGCAAGCAGTGGACAAAGCAGGCAGCTGCCAAACAACGTTAGAAGGGAGCACTGCACAACTTTAAACGAGCATGTTCCCTAATTGATCAGCAACGTAACAACATTAACTGGGATGACTTTAAGTGAAGAGTTACTGTAAGTATTAAAAATGTGCATATAGGTAGGTATGTGGATAGACATTTTAACCATAGGCACATACATTCTTCAAAAGCATTAGCTTTACACATCAGGTAGTAACTAGGGCAGGACCACTATGGAAAGGATGAAAAATGGAACTAACTTTAAAAAAAAGTTTGCTTTAAAATGGCTGGTAGCCGTGAGGAATCAGGGCCTGCAGCAGACTAGTCTCCAGGAAGACTCATCAACACAACTGGCCTGCAGCAGGCTGCCTCATTAGCCATGCAACCTGACTAGCTGCAGAGGCCCACTCGTAAGGCAGCAGCAGCTCACTGCCTTCTCAAAGCTCATACAAGCCATACTGTGCGCCTGCTCCTGCATTACCTTGTTCCTGCTGCACCAGCCTTGCCTCCATCCTGTCCCTGCCTTGAACCCCTCCTTGCCTGCTACCCTGCTTGCAACAGTTCCTGACCTCTGGTTTGACCCTTGTCCCTGGCTCCTGATTACAGATGCCAGCTCGAAACCTGGTTCCAGTATCCAGTTTCTGCCTTCTGGTTTGACCCTTGGCTTTGGCTCCCACAACTGACTTTGACTCTGACCACTAGGCCTTCTGTCCACTCCAGTCACTAGGCTAGACTGCCCTCATTCTGGTCAGTTGACACATTGAGAAGCCCTCGAATTGGGGCCAGCGGCTCTCAGCGTTAGCACTGACCCTACTAAGGCCCCAGCGGATGCTATCTAGAACCTGCAGTTGCAAGTAACCACCCTGTAATCGCAGACTGCGGCCCTTTAGGCACAGATTGCTCTGCTGGCTTGTCCTGCTCCACTCCTCCCAGAGCTGAAGATTCCACTGCCCAACAAATTTAATGGAGATTGGGACAAGTTTCGGGGATTTCTGCACTAATGTCAGCTCCTGTTCCTCCTATGCCCCCAATCATTCACCTCAGACTAGGCCTGTGTGGGGCTCATCTTAAATTTGTTGACTGGGGGAGCCTTGGCCTGGTCTTCCCCACTCCTGGAAGAAGTCCAACCCCCTCCTGCAACACTTAGAGGAATTCTTTCAAGCTATGTCTATCATCTTTGGCGACCCCAAATGGGTGCGGACCAACAAGATAACCCTTTAGGCCTTACGGCAGGGGGCTGCCCTGTAGCCAAGTACACTGGTGAATTTCATTGTTTGGTTTCTCACACGAGGTGGAAAGATGTGGCACAGCACCACCTTTTCCACCTGGGGTTAAATGAGGTGAAGGAGGAGCTTTCCCGGGTGGAGCTTCCATCCAGTTTGGACAGCCGGATTGAACTGTGCATCAAAATCCAGGATCACCTTTCAGAGCGGTGTCCTGAGCGAACCTCAAATTTCCAGAAGCTGCCACCCCCCAGGCCTCTGACACCCCAGGCACATTGGTCTTCCTTGGCATCAGAGCTCATGCAGGCCAACCAGGTTCACCCGCACCTCTTTGATTCAGAGAAGCATCAACCCTGGGCTTTATGCTTTATCTATATTGTGAGGGACAATCTTGCCTTGATGTGTCCCCCACAACAGGCTCAGACAGAACCAGGGCCAGAAAATGCCAGATCCCCAGTCCCATACAGATTTCAGGCTGCTAATACACACAATTTCTTCTCCTTCCTCAAACTTATGAGTGACATCTAAACAGAATAACTACTTTGTATCAGTGTAAAAGTTAAACTGCCTGGGTCTATCAAATACTGTAAGGTAATTTTTGAAGTTTTCTCTTGGTTGAATGATCCAGTGGAATCAGAGTTCAATTTTACATAAGGTTACAGATATTTATGGAGGAAACTACTACACCCACTTCTCAGCCTAGTGATTCCTTAATGAGAAAAAAGGTACAGTACCTTGAAATATGCTGTGAAAGGAAAAAAGGGTTGGAGGAGGAGAAGCAAAAGCCTACGATTAGACAGAAAAGATGAAAATCTCATCAGGAGGAAATTAGTTTTGACATCTTTTACATTCATAGTTAGTTTGCTTTAGGATATAAAATGTCACTTGACCTGTTAACCTGACTGTGCCACCTCTTACAAATTACACCACACAAAATCAAATGCAAGTGGAAAAATGTGTCATATCTAAAGGAAACAGGTTGGCGAGGGTGGGGGTGAGGGTAAACCAGAATAAATCATAATCTCTCTCTCTCTCTCTCTCCCCCCCACCCGCCCCATGAGTCCAGGGCACAATCTCATTATTGCAGATGTTTAACAAAAGTATAGCCAATATTTTCAACACATGGTCCAAAAATCAATCATTTATACACTCAAAGTTTAAAGAAACATTTTTTCTATTTATTTGCATGTGCATATATTTTGCTGTTATTTATTTTGGTTACATTAAGAAGGGTTTCATACCAGTGCAGGAGCAGTTTAATATCTACACACTTCTAATATCATTGTTTCTCTGAATTCTCCCTTTATTGCAACCAAATACCTGTTTCAATTTGTAAACCGCTCCTGCGCATCCCTAAAAGTATTACTCCTACCATGACTTGCCAAGCCCTGATCTTGCAAGCCTCCCATGTTTCCCCAGTAAAGTTTATAAACTGAACACCCAAAGCAGGGACAGTATCATATGGGTAATGTATTTTCCTAATATGGCTAAGCCACACCTGTTTGCTTTCTTGTGGATCAATTTTCTGAATAAAAATTCAGCAATTTACAGTAAAATGTGGATAAAGTTGTATATTTTTAATTAAAATCAAGTTATTGTGTAGGTTCCGAAACTGTGCAAAAAACCATTATTGATTATACACATTTTTTCCATGCACTTACCTTAACAGGAGATTATTCAGTAAGTAACATTGCAAAAGTTTTCTATTTTCTTGGTTTCCATGCTTGGTGCACAATCAAGCTGCAAAGACTTTGTTAAATTCTCCACAGAAAAAGCTATAACATAATACAATAAAGATCAATACTTACTACTTATATGTTTCTGAACGAATATATTCAAAAACATGAGATACTCCCAGCTGGAACTGATCTGCTATAGGGGTAACCCAGGGATTATTCTCTGCTTTGAAGACTTGCTTTTGACCAGTCAAATCCAAATTACCTGAAAGGGATTAAACAAAAGGGCATGTGAAAAGGAAATCTCTTATCCTAAACAAATTAATCACTGTATACAATTATTTTCATTCTTTGAAAGAGTCTGACTACCCAGTCAAAGCAAGTGCCAATATTTTCAGGCTTAATATGAGGAAGAGGTGGCATATTAGCTCCTGCCATACTATGTAATATGGAAGTAGAGCCAAACTCCACCCTGTTTACTTCATTAGTGTTGCACTACTCATAGCCAGGATGAATTTGGCCCAATGAATTTTAAATTTAATCCTACTATATTTCTTCACATTTATTCATCAAAATAAGTCTTAAAAATGGGACTTGATGCACAGGCTCTGAGCTGGCCTTCTGCACATTTCTGCGAGATACATTTCACTCATTTAGCACTACTACTACTACATCAACAGGTGTGAGATTTGAACTTGAGGCTTCCTGATTCCCAATTTAGCACTTACTTTTTAGATGACACTAGCTATTTGGGGACATAAAAAGACCTGCTAATTTATACCATTAAAAATAACCTTGACCTTGAAGGACAACTCCACAGTAGTATTCTTGATCACATTGCTTAGCAGGAATGAACAATGGCATCACTTTTTTCCATAGTACGGCCCAATGTTGCAGTTTATTTCCAATATCACTACCACAAGCCCAAGTCTAATGAAAAATCCCCAGTTGGTGTTTATTTTGCAGGTAATAAAATACCAAATGTTTAGCTTGTGCAACAGCCTACAGCTTATGTTGGTTATAGCTATCAGTCCAGAATACAGAAATTCATACCTATAACCTGCCACTATAGCTATTATTTCAACAAGACTTGAGAGATTTATTGGAAGTGTCATTGATTTTTCTTTTCCTAAATTCTCCCTCCGGAAAGGTAGAGAAGTACACTCCCAACTGAAATTCCTCATGATTAGGAGACGACATGCAATACTCCAGTTTTATACAGAGTCATTGTCCTAGCTATACAAATAATTTTCACACACATATTTAAAATTGTAACAACATTTTGTAACATTATGGATGTCATGATCAGCGAATATAGTAACAGCTGTGAGAAAGTAAAAAACTGTTGTAGATGAAGTGGGAAAATAAAAATAGCATTTTTAATCTAATCAAACTATGTAGCTTAAAATTAAAGCATCATGTCTGGAAGGCAAGCCTAACCAAGCTGTTACCTCTTTATGGAGTAAATATGTGCTTATTTTTCAAATTGATGCCATTCGTACGTATAGAGTGAATGCGCACGTATGGATGTAATAGCATCTGCAAGCGGTCTCTTGGCTGGCTCAGTTAAAACCTCACCATTCTCTGCATTATATTTAATCCTTAATACAGCTCTCTCTGTGAAAAAGGGTTATCATAATTAGAGTAAAGCTAGACCATTATACTCTGCGAGAAGATGACACTTGTCTCATATTGGCCTACCAACAAGTTACAATTACCTCAGCAAAGATCATCTGTCAGCTGTCTGAGGTCCGTTCTGTATTTAAAGTAACAACATGCAGGAAGCATTTCATGCCTCTGTCAGTCAGACAGCAACTGCCCTAACTGCCTTATGCTTCAGTGCTTCTAGTGAGGAGCCTCACACCCATCTCCTTTATTAGAGGACTCGGCAGCATGTGTGTTCTAACAAGGATCAGGCAGCAGGATTAAGCACTGTGACAAAGAGGACCTAATAAGATAGAATCTACGCTGGCTGGCTCAAAGCCACAGATTCACACTGTTCACTATTCAGTTTTAAGGCATAGGCCACGAGGGAAGCAAGCCAGCGCTGTGATTACCAGTAACCCTCAGAACCAATGCTACTATGAAGATCATACATCACTCAGAAGCTTATTCTGCAAATTGCAAATTGGATTTTCCCATTTTATTATCTGCAAAAGAACCATATACATTTCTCTCCAAAGCCATCAACACAGTAAGTGCTCACTTACAATTATAGTTCTGTAAGCAGTATATCAAAATAAAATGATCAATCTGTGTACAACTTTTATAAACAGTTAAATTCAGAAAGATAAATTTGGCTCCATTATAGGGCAAATGCGATTTTGCTTATGGAAATGGACCATACGTTTTCAAAAATCTCACCAGAAAGGTCCTTAGCTGAGCACTCCAATCTTGAGTTGGTTCAGTAAATTACTGTCCATACTAAATAACCAGGGGAATTTTGCCTGAAACTCTCACCTCCTCACTGTTGTGTTCCCACTGTAGATTCTTAATACCATACAGATAATTTACATGTAATCAATTCAAAGGAATGAATTCTCCTGAAACCAAAGAGGTTTTATAGAAAAAGGAGGTTTCCTAAACAAAATCAACTTTTGACGCATATGTTAAAAGGGCATCACTCAATTTTCCTCTTCCCCTCACTTGGGGGCGGGCGGGGGGGTGGGGCGCGAGAAGGATAAGCCACATCTAGTTATTTCACGTTATGGAGGTTGGGCACAAACTTATTTGGGAGACTTAGTAAGCTCACAAGTCTATAGCTCCAAACCAGGAATAAATTCCACCCCTTACTATGACAGCTGAGGAGGAGGAGTTTCCTTTGGGTTCGCTTCTGGCAGAAACAGGGCAGCTACTGCTGGGCAGGGGCAGTGGGAGTTCAAACATTACAGGTTTTCTATGAAAAGGATCCAGGAACCAACTATGCTGCTGTCGAATGGGAACTAGTAACCCTCCCATGCTCAGGGCATTGAACAGCAAGAGACCAGGTGTTCCCAAAGACAGTAAGTGAGTCAAGGTGTCTGTCTGTCTGTGAGGGGAGGAGAAAGGACGGGGCACTGAACATTACAATTCCTACCCCAAAACAATACAGCTGCCAGATAAGGAGGGGAGCCACAGCTAGCACATGAAGCACAAGCAGACACAGGGGGTTTGACCAGATCCATCCCAGTCCCTCCTCCCTTTCTGAAATCGAAGTGGAAGGAATGAAGGCAATGCAGAGAACACTTTCACCAAAAAGGGCATACAAATTAGCAAGGAAGAAGCAGTTTTACTGATGCAAAATTAGACTTCTGGTAGCACTACAAAAGTCACTCTTACAAACATATCATATAGGTAGCCTTGGAATGATTAGATTTTTTTTTAACAGTACATTTGGAAAACGTCTTTCACCACAGACACACACAAACTGACCAAAACAGTATTTCCAAAGACAGCAATTGAAATTTATAGACAGACAAAATAAGGCATTCCAGTGATTTAGACTTCTGAATTAGGTTGGTTACAAATGGACTAGCGAATGAATAGTAAAAACATGTACTATTTGTCAATTTAAGGATATTTACTTCGTATATTCTGACATGGAATGTTGACAATTTGTGTTTTAATGATTTATAAAGCTTTACTTTTTGAATCTCAATGTCTATTGTTCTTAAATAAATGTCTAGCACGGCCCCCCTGCACAATTTCCCACAACAGAGAAAGTTTAAAATAGATAGAAAATCTAAAATATGCTTAAAAAGGATCAATATCTGTCAAAAGTATAAAAAACAAAAATCAAATTCTGCCCAGCCTACAAATACGCACATGGACAATGTTGCAGCCATAAATATTTTTATACAGGTTATGTTCACAGCTACAATATTCATTGTGACAGGTTTCAGAGTAACAGCCGTGTTAGTCTGTATTCGCAAAAAGGAGTACTTGTGGCACCTTAGAGACTAACCAATTTATTTGAGCATAAGCTTTCGTGAGCTACAGCTCACTTCATCGGATGCATACTGTGGAAAGTACAGAAGATCTTTTTATACACACAAACCATGAAAAAATGGGTTATTTTTTCATGGTTTGTGTGTATAAAAAGATCTTCTGTACTTTCCACAGTATGCATCCGATTAAGTGAGCTGTAGCTCACGAAAGCTTATGCTCAAATAAATTGGTTAGTCTCTAAGGTGCCACAAGTACTCCTTTTCTTTTTGCAAATATTTATTGTGACATCTTACTTCCCAGGGCAAGGGTATGTACCAAGTAGGGTTCAAAAGTGACACTGAAAATGACTAGAAAGAATGGCCCTGACTCTGGGTCCTGCTCTAGCAGTGCAAAGCAGCTGGAAAGCTGGGAGATTTGGTCCCCTGAACATTCCCCCTACTTAAGGGAGGATTCCTAAAGTGTTAGTGTTGACTCAGCAGCTCTTATGCCGCCCCCTGGACAGGGGGCACAGGCAGGAGAGAAGGGTCATGGCAGTTGTTTATGTGCATTTTCAAACCGTACTGTACATACTATCCCAAAGACTTTAGGAAGTTTTGATACTGCTATACTAAGAAGATTACACCAAATCCCTCTGATATTTTTAGCAAGTTAAACACAAAATTGCCTCTGGTAAAAATCCAGCGCTGAAGAATGAATCATAAAATGCAAGTGTGTTGGAGATTGCACTTATTTTTGTTTTGTTCTTTCCGACTACCTCAATCCATTTAAAAATACCTATACTTTATCAAAGAAAATTTAGTATTCCTAATACACTGGTATTATGGTGTAATACAATGGGCCTGTGATTCTCTTCTCAGTTATGAGTGCAAATCAGAATTAACTGGAGTTAATGATGTTACACTTGGGCCTAGTCTACACTAGCAATTTACTTCAATATAGCTATGTCTCTGAGGTGTGTGAAAAATCCATACTCCTGAGAGACATTTATATCGACCTAACACCCAGTGTAGTCCGGCGTTGGTCAACGGAAGAATTCTTCTGTTGACCTAGCTACCGCCTCTTGGGGAGGTGGATTACCTATACTGATGGGAGAAGCCGACCCTTCGCTGTAGGTATGGTCTACACTGAAGTGACACATTGGCACAGCTGCAGTGTTTTAAGTATAGACACGCGCTCACGTACATCTAGTCTGAGGGGACAGTGAGGTCAAATCTGTTTCTAAAATACAGTAATGCCACCGTTGGACCTCCCCTCAAATGCTTTTCAAATTATGACATCTGAACACAAATTTTTTTTTTTTTTTTGCTAAACTATACTTAACTACCCTATTTTACAGCC